TAAAACATCATTTAATTTATGTCTTATAGGGTTTATACTGAGTACAATATTGTATAACTGTAATAATTCAACTGTAAACCTAAAAATTTACAGCCAAATTTGAAAGAGATGCATCCTACCTCAGGAAAACATTATTGAATACGTCAATTGTGTTGTAATGATATGCTTCTTCTAAGTATGTTGTTATTAAAGAAATCATTTTTAAAAATTAAAAAAAATGTGTTTTCTAAATATGAAGTAAATTAAATATTTTATTCATAACCAAGTTAGTTTCCTACCTCATTTTAACAAAACCTGATGACATAAAGCTATGTAACATAATATGCTGCCCTCCTAGTTAGCTGCCTATTTCTTTTTTGATTAAAGTAGCCCAATATTTAAATGAATATGAAATTCTTAAAAATTAATTACTAGGAGATTGTGGATTTTGAATATATGAAATATAAAAATGATATTACTTCAAATATTTCTTTCCAAATATTGAAAAACATAGCTATGAAGAAATAGTGGAGAATTTAGAGTCCTAAACCACAACAAGAAAAGAGTTATCTTGAGTTACATGGTTGGAAAGTACTTGGAGAAGGGGAAAGGAGATGGAGTAAGGAGACCCACAGGTAACTACACCTGTTCTGTGGAGCCTAGATCCAGCTATGGGAGATCTCCTTTTAGGCAACTTATACAACCATGTATGATTTGCTTGTGCCTCCATGATTTTGATATATAGAAATTCATATTATGTGAATCTTTTTTCTATTTTCAGCTTTTATAGTATTATCAGATATATCATTTATATATGCAATGTGAAAATCTTAGTAATAATAGCATAATTAGTGATTAAGTTGAAATAAGACAAGACAATTAAATAAATTCAGTAGGTCAACTGCTATTCTGCCGTCTATTAGGCAAGTAGAAACTGTGGCTCAACATGTAATCTTCCATTTTCTGCTCTTCTGCCTGGTGAGCAGGCATAATACACTTTATTCACCAGTTGTTAGCTTCTTTAGTAAGTTTTCAGAGGTTAGACACGTAGGCTTAGGTTCTTCATTACTCTTAACTGATCTTCACACTTATGCTCCTGAGCAGGCCAAATGCCCAGGTGAGGAAGGACAGTAGCCACAATGCTCTGTATCCCTGAATGGAAAGACAGAACAGGGATTGGGCTCCTGCACTGTTCTCGGGGAGGTTTAGTTCTTGCCTCCTTATTCTTTTTTAATTTACTTATTCATAGTTTATAACTATCTCTAGAGTCCTTTAAAAAGTCTCCTAACATTGGATCACAGAGACATTTCAGTGACGATAAAGAGGTATTCTAACTTCTCTCTCTCCTTCCCTGACTCCTTTCTCTCTCTCTTTCTATTTGTTTTTTTGTTTGTTTGTTTTGTTTTGTTTTGTGTTTTGAGACAGGGTCTTCCTGTTGCCCCAGCTCCCTGTAAACCAGGCTGGGCTTGATCTGCCTGTCTCTGCCTCCCAAGTGCTTGGATTAAAGGCATGTGCCACCACACCTGGCCTGACTTCTCTTTTGTAAACATCTTGTATTTCCATTGAAAGGGACACTGAATGAAAAGATTATTTTGATATGTCTTATTTTTAAGTATAAAACTTCGAATTATCAAGGGTCAACTATTAATAAGCAATATTAATTTTGTTGAATTATGTCTGTTTGTTTCAATATTTTGGAAGAAGTATTGATTTCTTGACATCCTGACAGTGATTCTTTGGCTATCTTCAGACTGAAATTAATGGAAAAGAAAAAAACATAGAGGAATATTTTACTTTTCACCATCATAGCAACATTTTCCTAATGTATAGAAAACATTACTGAAACAGAATGAATTGTAGAGGTAGAAGATGAATTTCATCAAATGAGTCTTGACCAGCGAAGTATGTGTAACACTTACCTAGATTTCTGAGACAGTCCATTGGATTCAAGTTTCATTTATGTAAAACTCTTTCAGGAGTCTACATCCCTTCGATTTAATATGTGCAATTCCATTGGAGGGAGAATTATGGGAGGTATCTGACTGATGCAATCCTAAGGGTTGATACTTTACATGGTTATATGTAAGAATTATAAAAGACATATGGAATAACTATGCATTGGGGCTTTTTCATTGTAGATAATTAATGGGACAATGTTCTCCATTGTCAGCTATAAAATTAATCTTTAGTGACATTTCTCTAGAAATGAATGTGAAATCTAGGCACATATTAGTTTCATGGGTCAACCACTAATGTACAAGATGAAAGCACTACATTATCTTTTTTTCAAAAATATCTAGGCCTGAGTATAACTATGAGTCATATGACTATCAAGTTTCAAGCCTTCATATTTAACAACCCACATGAAATATGAAGGTTATTTTTTGGTGTAAAAGTATTCTCACTAAAATACCTGCCATAGAAAAGATTCTTATTATCCAGACAATTCCCACTGAGCACCAGCAAGCATTCAGTGTTTAAGATCATTGCGCTGGGATGGATAACAACACCTGTTGAACCTATCAATCCTCCTCCAACCACAGGTACCTTATTGTGCCTTTCAGAATAATTAACTCACCAGCATCACCTATACAGCACTCTTTACGATTAAATTATAACTTCCAGAGATCACTCAGCCAGGAATTCTTGAACTTTTTGTTACCATAATGTTATTCTTTCATAATTCCTCAATGTTTGCATTCTCTATTCACTATGTATTCACTCCATTCAGAGAGTTGATCAATACATATTGATCACCTACTACAAACCAAGGTAATGGTGCTAGGAACCATGTACTTTATATAGCACTTTATAGGTCATAACAAGTTCTTTATTTCCTGGAACTCACAAACTTTTTTTTTCCTAAAAAAGTCAAGTCCATTCAATGCATTTAAATGGAAATCAAAGACTATAGCACTTTCCAATAGCCTCGGAGATGCCCAGAAAATTACAAAGCAAGGTTTAGAATCATTGCCTAATAATAGGATTTTCAACAATAAAATATCCAGGAATGGAAGTGGCTGTGTGATTTTATTTTGCTTACCAAAGCCATGGTTTAAGTTCTGTAGAAGACAATAATAAATACTTGCAATTATCATATGCTGACTCTGACTGTGATTACAGTTTTTTTGTTTATTTGTTTGTTTTTGATATAAACTGAATAATCTTGCTGTGCTTAAGTAGCTAGTGATTCAGTCTGTGCATTAACTGCTTCATGTCACAGAGGGCGAACTGTTTTTCTCCTTAAATAGAGTAAATAAGACATTCCTTGAAAGAGTTGTGTATATAATCCCATTTAGATTTGTGTATATAGTATCCATTTAGATTGCGCAAAGAAGCAGAGAGGAAGCACCATTTGAAGAGAGACTCTACTTAGCTCTTACCCTAATTTTTTGACTCTACAATTTAACCACTTAATCCTCACCATTGAGAATGTATACAACACAATATTGTACAATAAGAAAGTGAACGAATGAGTGAGGACAATTTAGTGAAATTCTTTCTTCACACACACACACAAAAAAAGGGAATGTTTTTCAATGTGTATCAAAGTTACCAGAGCTCATGAAGATGCTTCATTTAATTTTCTCCATTCTTTGTTTCTTCTTAGAACGATTCAATGTTTATCTTATGCCTACACCAAATCTGGATATCTATGGCGAATGCACAATGCAGATCACTCATGAGAATATCTATCTCTGGGATATCCACAATGCCAAGGTCAAGCTGGTGATGTGGCCTCTCAGCTCCCTGAGGAGATATGGTCGAGATTCGACATGGTTCACCTTTGAGTCAGGAAGGTAAGTGCTAATTTGGTGGCAAAGGGTAGATAGTGTGTAACAGAGTCCTGTAAGGAAAGTTCTGTCTGCTGTTACCAGGGATAATCATTATCTTACAAAGAGTCAAAATTAACAAATACAGATCTCTTCAGTTTCTTATTGATTGTATCAATAAAATACTATTAATTACCTGGCAGGTTAATTATCCTTTTCAAAATCATTTCAACCTCATATGCCTAAAATCAAGTTATTTCAGTAACATAATTTAAAATATATTTATAATAATAATTTTTTTGGTCTTTTTGAGACAGGGTCTCCCGGTAGCTCCAGCTGTCCTGGAGCTCACTATGTAGACCAGGTTGGCCTTGAAATCACAGAGATCCGCCTGCCTCTGCCTCTCGAGTGCTGGGATTAAAGGCATGCACCACTACGCCCGGCTATAATTTTTTTTTTTTTAAGACAGGGTCTCCCTGTAGCCCCAGCTGTCCTGGAGCTCACAGTGTATACCAGGCTGGCCTTGAACTCACAGAGATCTGCCTGCCTCTGCCTCCCGAGTGCTGGGATTAAAGGCATGTGCCACCACGCCTGGCAGCTATAATAATTTTTATACATTCTCATATAATAAGATTTCTGTAAAATTAAATATGTCCCTGCTTACATTATTTTTGTGAGTGCCTTATAAATAAATGATGTTAAATGGGGTTTTGGTGGTGCATTCCTTTAATCCCAGCACTGGGGAGGCAGAGGCAGGCGGATCTCTGTGAGTTCAAAGCCAGCCTGGTCTACATAGTGAGTTCCAGGACAGTTGGGGCTACAGGGAGAACCTATCTCAAAAAGACCAAAAAAAAAAAAATTACTTAACATTTTAGCATTAAGAAAAGTTATACTACTCAGTCATCCAAATGGTTACACTTACAACATTAGTAGTTATATAAAAATTAATTCAAAATGACTGGAGAAATGTTAGTATATACAGAATTTATGAAATGTGTAACTCATATTTTAAACCTACTGTGTTAAGGCAAATATTTTGACTTTATCCTCACAACATATGGTTGTTACCCATAAATGTCTAAAATGAATACATAACTCATTATTCATAGACAAGGATTTGGGAATGAGCAACAGTCAACTAAATCAATGTTTCTATGCTAGACCCCTTTGTGACAATATCATACACCCAAGAGGAGACCTGAATTTAGGAATTTTTTGTTTCAGAATAGAAATTGAGTCCAAGGTCTTAGGCATGCTCCATAAGTGCTCTAACCAGAGTGATACATCTTCAGTCCAGGTTTAGGAGTTTTATGGAAGGATAGTTAATACATCAGTCTTTACAGATGAAACCTGATTTAGCACACTGTTAAAATGAGTTCATAGTCTTAAAGGACATTATAACTTAAGTCTCAATGAATGTGATATAGAAATTGTAAGTCATAGCATTCTTCTTACAAAGTGTTTAAATATTTATTCATAGTTGGGTTCTAATGATACTCAACTCAGGTAGGTCATATGTCTCTTAAATTTTATGGAGAACAAAATCCCTGAGCTATAGTAATTTTTCTGGCTTGAAGTACTCTGCACCAAAGAATGTTACATTTTCACATTGCTGATTTCTCTGAAGAATCTTAGATCTTCTGTTTACTTAGTAGCTATGGGTTCATTCAATTATCTATTCCTTTCTGCTTAGAAATTGATAGTGCAATAATGATCACCTGCTGCATAGCAATCAGGAGACAAAAATTTCTACAAAAATGAACATTTTTAAGTATGTACATTATTTTAAACAGAGATTGTAAAAAAAATAGTGTTAGAGATTCATTCACCTAAAGTCCATTGTACATTGCTAACATACATATCTGACAAATTCATGTTATATTGAGATGGGGAGATAACACAGTCAATAAAGTGCTTACCTCACAAAGCATGAGGACCCGAGTTCAATCCCAGAACCCACATTAAAAAAAAAAAAAAAAACCTGAGTATGTGTATCTGTAATCCTAGTGCTGGGGAAGCAGAGGAAGAAGGATCCCTGGGACTCACTGGTCCCCCAGTCTAACCTAAATGTTGAGCTCTAAATCAATGAGAGATCCAGGGAATTTGATACTTTTTTGCTGCTGCAATAAAACACCATGGCCCAGGCCACTTATAGAAGGCAGTTTATTTGCCTTATGATTCCAGAGGGAGAGTCCGTAATGGCAGGGGAGGCATGGTGGTAGAGTAAAAAGCCAGGTTATCACATCTTTGAGCAGGTAGAAGAAGCACAGCAAAACTGGAATTCTGGCAAGACTGAAGAATTCTCAAAGTCTACCCTCAGTGACACACTTTCTCTAGCATAGCCATACCTCCTAAGGTTCCATGACCCTCCCCAATAGTGCCATAAACTGGGGACCAAGTGTCCAAATTCTTAGAGGATATTGGGCGCATTCATTCAAACCACCATACCCTATCTCAAGGGAGATGTATGGCATTTCTGAAGGTGGCATCCAAGGGTGTCCTCTGGCCTCCACATTCACACACACACACACACACACACACACACACACATACACGCACAAGTGCATCCTCATGCACACATGGACATAAAAACACACAAGCATGCACACATACATACACATATATAAAAAATTGCTGTTGCTGAGCATGGTGGTGCACACCTGTAATCTCAGCACTATAATGGCCAAAGCAGGTGAATTGTTGTGAGTTCAAGACCAGCTTAGTTTGTATACTGAATTAAAGGCCAGCTAGAGCTACTGTCTCCAAAAAAAACATACATATAAATCAACTAGAGTTCTTTCTTTATTTTTCTGTCCATTCCTAACCCTACTTCCAGCATCTCCATACCCCATACCCCCTTCCTGTGCCTCTCTCTTGGGTATACCTACTTTTATTTCCTTAAATGGAAGAACTGAAAAGTCTACCTACCCCATAATTTTAATGGGCTTCTAGTCATGATCTCAACTACCAAGCAGTCATTTTTTTCTGTGTACTGATTATTCATAATTTTCATTTCACTTTAGATTTTTTTCAATTTTTTTATTCTATTTTATTTTTTAGTTTGACTTTCAAGGTTTTCATATTTTTGCCAATTTCTTATTCCTTCAAAGTATTTCAGGGGAGTGAACTGGTTCTCCACAACCTTAAATTGACATCCTCAAAAAAATCCAAGTTACATATGCGATTTGCTAAACAACATGAGTTGATCTTCGGTGAGATTGACTATTCGAAAAACCTTAAGATGCTGAGGCTGGGGAGATGGCTCAGTGGTTCAGAGCACTGGCTGCTCTTGCAGAAGACCTGGATTTGAGTCCCAGCACCCACATGGCAGCTAACAACCATTCATAACTCCAGTTCCAGGGGTTCTGACACCCTCTTCTGACCTCCATGGGCATTGCATGACATGAATACACTTACATACATGCAGGCAAAACACACATACATATAAAATAAAAATATTTAAAATAAAAAAATTAAGATGTATGAAAACGCACACATACATTTGAGTATAAAAGGATCATATCAAACAATTTTGTATTGCTGCCTTAGATATTTTTGTTTGGTTTGTTTTTTGCTGTTTGCCGGAATAACTTCTTAAAAACGGAGTACCTAGTACTGAAAAGTAGCATAGATATCCTTGCTCCAATGAGTCCTTAGATTGAGAGAGAGTTAGATTTAGAATACTACTGTTCTAGTCAGTTATTTAATCTAGGATATTTAGCCCCTTTGCTGTTGGGTTTTTTCTTCTGCCTTAGGGGAATACTAATCTCTGCTTCCTACCAGAGCTGGAAGTGGCTGCCTGAATCAGTGCACATAAAGCTGCACATGGCAGAATATTGCCACTTAATGAACATAGGTGAGATCATAATTGTCTATTCTTCCTCAGGAGACTTGGAATTTGCCCTTTCTAGTCTCTTAAGGAAAGCCTCTGGCTCATCTTGAAGAACTCTTATCATGGAAAAAGAACTCTACTGTTGTATTATTTACCAAACCACAGGAAGTAGGAGAAAAAGTCAAGCATAAAGTCCAGGATGTTTGCCTTTAAAAGCAGGACAGGTAGTTATAAGTTCTGCTTTAGGAATAGATGCAAAAGTTGCATGTCATGCCTCAAGAATTTAAGGCTCATTTGTGAAAAGGGAATTGATGCATTAATAAATGGAGAACAGATAAAAAGGAAATATTGAGTGACTGTCTTTATTAAAACTGGTACAAGAAGTATAACCATGGGTTGGGAGTGCCTATACTGTTTAAGAGCCAGCAGGACTATTAAGAATTCTTAACTGAAGATGTGTCATTCTTTGGAATGAGTCTTTGTTCTGATGTTATTGGGGAGTCAGACTATAGAGCCATGAAAATCAAAAGTCCATACACTTAATATTAATGGAAAAAACTCAAAAGAAAAAACTTTTTAAAACTCTATTAAACCTAAGAAATAATTTGAGCATAGTTACAGTACATAAGAACAAGGTACCAAACTCAGTTTTATTTTATATGCTAGTAATGTATAATAAAATTTTTAAAAATTAAATTCATTGCTTGTAATGACCTCAAAAAATGAAATAGGTATAGGAAAATTTGACACAATATGTATAAGACTTTATCGTAAAGACTGTTGAGAAATGGCTGAAAGTAAAGACCCAAATAAATAACAATATATTCATATACATGCACTAGAAAATTCTGTTTCATTCAGATTTTTTCAGATTTATTTATAGATTCAATATAATCCCAATAAAAACCTCAACATGGGGGGTCAGAGCTGGAGAGATTGCTCAGTGGTTAAGAGCACTTGCTGCTTTTACAGAAGACCCAGATTCAATCCTAGCAGCCACATGGCAGCTCACTACTGTAACTTCAGTTCCAGAGGAACCTTGCCCTCTTCTGCTCTCCAAGGGCACTAAGCACACATATAATGAACATACAAACATATAGACAAAGCATTAATACACATAAATAAGAATAAATCAATTTATTTTTTGAAAGCCTTAACTAACTTTTCTGAAGTGAGAAATTGATCCTAAGATTTT